TTTATATTGATGAATATTGATTAAAAGATTATTTATTGGAAAGAAATGAAAAATATTCATGGAAAACAATCTGTGTCTGCACCATGTATTGACTTTAAAGTATTGATTTGAAACCTAATATTCTGAGAAAATGTGCAAATGAAACACACAAAACAACCTTGCAATGGTTAATGCACATAAACCAATTGAAACATTTCTATCCTTTTACATAACACATTGCCAATAAATTCTTTTTAGGTTGAAAACACAAGAATTAAAACCTGTATAGCTTTTGTTGTGTGGAAAAGAGAGCAAACCTTGGATTTTGCATCAACAATGTTACCTTTGTATCTTTATTAACCACATCTTTTTTTATCACAAAATGGAAAGAAGGTTTTGGAACTAGTGAAAGCCTTAGTGGTTAAAATTTCTTGTAATTGGTCAATTAAGATACAAAAGTGACTCAGACTATTCAATATAGAAATTGTTTCATGTGTTTATCAATTAATGGTAAACCTTTACATCAAAACACAAAATTTAATCTTTTTAGTTGGAAATCAAGATATATACTAATCTGAAGGTTTTCTTCAAAGAATGCATGAATGTGAACTAATTTCCAGTTTTTAAAAAAATATTGAAATTTCATTTTAAGAAAATAATTGGTATACAACAGTAATATTGTTATTTCAGTACATTTCTCCATGTGGTTGGTTCTTTGCATTCTGTTTTCTTCATATTTTACAGTCACAGTTTTTAAAATTATCCCTGATTATTTAATCACATTGACATATATATTCACACTTCACAGGGGATACAATTTATCTGAGTTATCTCCCCTTATCATTTAGAATGTTATTTCCTGTGGAGAATGTCATCTTAAGATATGATATCTGTCATAATATTCACCCTTGCATATGATGGAGGGTAGAAAAGGTTCAATCGGTATCAGATATAATAAGATAATAAGAAAATGTATATAAAAAGGGTCACATAGTTTCATATCTAAATACTTTTGGCTGATTCAAAGTAAAACTTTTTTCTATTCATCAGTTTGTCTGTGTCACAAGACAATTGTATCTATCCTAATTCACTAATAGAAAATTTTTATCTTGCATTAATGTACTGCGGATAATTATTTGTTTGATATTCTAATATGACGTCCTTATTACGCTTTGTAAACAAAGCTGTGTTCTAATTAGCACAAAATATGTTTAACACATGCGCACAAACTGACTGTTTACATTCTCCCTATTTTCGTTTTTATTCTAATAAAATATATATATTTTAGTAGCTTACATAAAATTTCATTATATATTGTTATTAAAACATCATATATTTAACCTGCTATAAGTTTTCAAACTTATCAAATATCAAATTGTAATGTACATAATTCATGGGGAGGAAACGGGAATAGCCAAACATTCCTAAGGTATTTTCGTATGCCTAGACTTATAAAAATACCATATTTGTCCTATTAGAATCGAAACAATTTTTGTGGATTTCTCTGGTATAGTATAACCACAGTTTAAGATCATTGCTTATGGTCTTTTACATTATGAACATGCATATTTTTTATGCCTCGACATTTTTTTTAGAAGGTCTATCCATATACATGTGTATATATAAAGTCACAGTGCCCAAATTGCACAGGGTACTCAATTTGCTAAAAAAGCGACATGAATCTTCTTAGAGACTTATCAATTCTGTTTTTTACCATAAGTCATTAGGCCCGAGAACACAGTTATTTCTTAGTGCATTTCTTTTAGACAATAAATTCAAATTAAAAATAAATTGCTTCGCTGAGCGCAGCTGGATACGACCGCAGATGTCCAACCCTGAAAAGTTGGGGCCAAAATGGACACAATATTCACGCTTGATACAGGTCTGAATTTGGATTGTAACTAAATTTTTGACACATAATAGGTTTCTGACACAGAATAACTGTAGTCAAAGAACTTCAAATTGGTTATATGATTTGAATTTATATTCAATTTTTTGCTTTTGTGCAATACACTATGCTGTTGAGAATTGACCCCCCCCCCTCCCCAAAAAAAAATTTTACCCGGGTTTTTTGCTTTTGTGCAATACACTATGCTGTCTGTTGAATATTAACCCCCAAAAAAAATATTTGAAGAAATTTTCTTTTAATTTCTGAAATCTGAAATAAGAAAAAATTGCCTTCCCCTCCAATTTTTTCACCTCCCCCCTTTCCCTTATTCCCAAAAAAAAACATCTTTCCCTCAAGATATGGTCAGTATCTCAATTCAAATTTCTAATGGAGTTTGCAACCATAATTACCCATTTAAATACATCATAAAAGTTTTAAAATATAAAATGACATACATAGTCATGGCTAAAATTAATATTAATTAATAGTAACTGCTAAAAATAAATTGACAGCTAATCACCTCAAGACAATCATCATTTCTTAATACATAATTTACTAGCAGTGTAAGGGAGGTAATCAAACAGTGTTCTTTTAATTGATTTGGATTACCTCCCTTACACTGCTTTTAAATTGTCTCAATTGTCCTTTAACCAGAAAAACCCTTGTTTTTCCCCTTTCTTTGCCCCTAGTTACTATTTGGTTTGAACCATAAACCCCCAAAAGTCAATCCTAAACATCCTTTTGTAGTATGGAAACTTGTGGTATAATTTCAGAGAGATTCATACACTTTAACACAAGTTATTGTCTGGAAACTACAAAAATGCTTATTTGGGCCCCTTTTTTGCCCCTAATTCCTAAACAGTTGGGACCATAACCCCCAAAATCAATCCCAACCTTCCTTTAGTGGTTATAAACCTTGCGTTAAAATTTTATTGATTTCTATTACCATATACTAAAGTTATTATCCTGAAACCATCTGTCTTCGGACGACGCTGACGACGACGACGACGACCGACAACGTGATACCAATATACGACCAAAAATTTTTTTATTTTGGCGGTCTTATAAAAATCACACCTGCTCTATCTCAAAAAGATTTTTTACAGTATAGTACACTAACTTTGGGACAGACTATATCAAAATTATAGAAAAGTCTATCAGCTCTTACTCAAAATATGGACAATTCTATATTAAGGGGGTCTATAATTCAGTTTGACAGCTTCAGACATACTATTTTCTTTACCTATTTCAACTGGACCAAATCACTACTTTACATATAAATTCATCACCTGCATTTTTTTAACATGCTCTTTCATCCCCCTAAATAATATTTCATGCATAAAATAAAGAAATAAATTTGGAAAGTTTATGAAAAAAATTTGCAAGTTATACATTGTTCACAGTAGGGACTACATTTGTAGACAACGAAAATCAAAGGCCGATAACTGTGTCCTCGGACCATTATGCATGACTAAATATACTTTAAGACACATAAAAGGATCAAATTATACATCAATAAATGAATTTTTCACTAAAAAGTAAAATTTACAGTAACTTCACCTGCAATGTCCACAAAAAGTCTACTTTTAATAAACTATTGACACACAGATATGTCTTGTGTATAATACTTTAACATGTTAACTTTGCAAAACATCCAGAGTAAATGAATCATTACAGAAGGATCAGGGCCAAATAATCTTTGTGGAAATGAGATATGTTAATGCTTATACAACTGCATACCAAATACCAATGACTTTTCATGAGGGGTTACCCTAAAACTGACCTAATCAAAAACTATAACATGTAAACTATGAAAAAAAATTAAAAGTAGATGAATCATGAATGAGGGGCAGGGCCACAGGATCTCATAGAAACGAGTGGGCTAATACTTATACAACAACACACCAAATATCATTAACATCAGTGGTTCCCCTCAAACTGACCTTATCACAAACTTTAACATGTAAACTACTGTGGATTCATTTATTTTATCGTGGGTAACAATTTTCGTGGATTGTTGAAAAATCATGTATTCGTGGATATTCGATTTCGTGGTTTTGCTAATGTCTGCATATAAGCTTATAGAAAATTCCCACTTCGTTGAGTATTGAAATTCGTGGTTCACCTAAACCAACGAAATCCACGAAAATTGCTATCCCACGAATATTAATGAATCCACAGTATGCAAAAGTGTCAAAATCAATAGACCATGACTGAGTGGGTGGGGCAAAATTATCCCCATGGATATGAAATTGATAATTTGAAAACTACATCAATGAATCTTTAAATGCAAGAAATAATCTAACAGGACTTGGTGTGTTACTTTCTGGATAAAATCAATTGTTAAGAAAATCAAGAGATAATATGTATTCACAATAAAAGTTACACATGCACTTGACCAACCTCAAAGCATAAGATCAGTACTTTATATCTCAAAGTCAGTAACTGAGTAAGACCGTCAACATGGATCACAAGCTTACCTAGCTCAAATTTCAAGAAGAAGAGGGGAATTATTTGCTAGAAGTTGACAATGCTAGATATGAGCATTGAAGCACATAGATGCTGACTTAAATATCAACAAATTAAAGACTAAATTGGGCAAAGAAATCTAACAAAACATGACAACATCATTGTCAAATACAGAAACAAACAAATGACAGGGCAAATCAAGATGTTTGTTAACTTTTAGGATATAATGAATGAATGGGGCAAACATTCAGGTGGACTGCATAGATACCAATTTGAATAAACATACAGACTGAAAGAGAAACATGAAGAAGTAAACATAAGAAAAGGTATCACAAGAATAGATATGCCACAACTGTAAACATATAGGAGCATACACCTAAATCACAGAGAAACTTTTAACAGTTTTCACACAGCATAACAGACAAACTTGATGTAATGATATCAACCGATATTAAGTATTAATTAATTTATGACACAAATTCCCTACACACACATGACAAAACCCAATGCATATATAGGAGCAATAAAAAGATTATTTTTTCATAGTAAATCTGAATGGTGTGCTTAATTCAAAACAATATGATCCAATATGACAGATAATTAAATTCTGTTATTTCTCTAAAACCCTGTAAAAAACAACAAAATAGAACATATATTACATCACCTGATCAGATTAAAATGACTTTCTGCCATTTTGGAATCCCAGACGTCATGGAATAGCAAAGTCAATAGCCAATACAATTCCAGTCAATAATTCTACAACCATCAATTCACATGGAGTCTCCTTTGCAAAAAATGTGAAATGTCAATGAAACACAGTTCACAAATTCATCATATATTCTAACTAGATTACTGAAGCTTACAACATACAAACAAGGCGAAAATCAATATTATTTCTAGGAAAAATTAAGCTGCATCATTCCCGTTTATTTCTACCGATCCTGAGATTGTAATTAAGGTGTCTTAAATGGATGTTGATGTGACAATGGGAAATGATCTGTGTCATTAAAAAAAAAATCCAAAATCAATATAAAAAAAATATAAAGTTGAGTGTGAGTCACTCTTTTTCTTTTGAACATTTACCGTGAAAACTATAAATTCTATGACTTTATAATGTATTACATTATTTCCCCGGCAATCTGTTTCCATACACTGATGCATTATGTAACAACAATGGGTTTTTTACAATAATACATGAAATCCTTAAATTATTATGTTCAACTGTCAGCAAAAAGGTGCATCAATTTTCAATGATTGTATGGAAGTCAGCAAAAGAAATAACAATAAAATTGAGAATGGAAACGTAGAATTCTTCAAAGAGACAACAACCCAACCAAAAAGTAGAGAAACAGCCACCAATTGGTCTTCAACACAGTGAGAAAATTCCGCGCCCAGAGGCGGGCTTCAGCTGGCCCCTAAACAATAATGTAACAAGTATAAAAATATGCATTCCATAGAAAGCCAAAATAGAATCCATGGGAATGTTTTATTTTACAAACAGGAGAAGTGTCCATATAGCAGAGTCTTTGAAACAGGATTTGTAAGTTCCAGATCCTACTGTCAAGTGGTCAATTTCTCAAATTGATGCAATTCACTGCCATCAAATTTGTTAATTTTCAAAAATAAGGTAACATTCAAGGTTCCTATTTGAAAAGAAAGCAGCAGTATAAATAAACCATTAAAAGTCACTTTTAACATCTAGTATAAGATGTTTTATCAAATATACATGGACAAGAAATATATGTTTAATATTGCTTCAAAAGGAGATCTAGTGTGAGCTTAATACTCTTGACATACAGAAATCAAGTAATCTTTTAAGAGGATAAGCAGAACATATTTTAATGTCTGGTTAAGTAAGTGTAAAATTGTGTTGTAATTCCCCACACCCCACCTTCTTCCATGATCAAACCCACATTGCTGATTTGTTTCAATAAGTACGATACTATAAGATATGAAACTAAACTATACAACACTTCTAAAATGTTCCTTCTTGATCAGCTCTTGCCATCGTGACTTCTTTTAAATCAATTTGTAAAGCTTCATTTCAATTTCTATTTCAAGGCCATTAGACAATACAATCTTTGTTTTCCTTAGTTTTTCAGTACATGCACATCTAAATTCAAACTCTAGACTAATAAATGTTCACGGCATCCAGGCAACATACAAGATCAGTGCATCCACTTCAAATTTCTACATCGATCAAGATTAAACTCCAGAGACCTTTCTTTGATGGTATAAGATAGATAAATATACTGCCTACAGATTATATTCAAGACAAAGGTTTTTTTTTTACTACATATCATTCTATCCTAATAACTCTGAATATTTGACTGCTATGTAAAATTGTACTACTTTATTGTTATAATTTTTTAATAATAAATACTGTTTAAACTAACTCTGAATCAACTTGAGGACCTCCAGATTAAACTCTATCTCAAGACTCACATCAAAGCATCCAGTTTTTAAACCAAACCTTAGATCTACCTTCAGTTTTAACCAAAGACTTCCTGGCTTTGTCCTTGTACTTAACTCTGTTCTGTTCAGATGAATCCTAGCTTTATCCCATATCTTTAATAACTCTGTCTAAGGATGAAATAATTCAATGCAAGGCATCCTGGCTTTGTCCCAGACCTAAATCTGGCAAACTCCACATTCAATCTTAAGAATCTTAGATTCATCCAAGACCTTTACTCTTTATCAAGACTAAACACAAGGCATCATGGTTTCATCCAAGACCTAAACTCTGTTATCTTAAGATATAACGTAAGGACTCAAAGCACCATGGCTTTTTCCCAGACATAAAGTCTGTCAGACAAATATTGATATGGAATAAAATTGCATGTCTAATATATATAATGTATCAATCATAGACATTGTGACAGCTCACTTATACTCATGACAATACTAAAACCATGATAACTAAAATATTTACTGGGAAGTGTAAAGGCCTTTACTAAAGGGTATCAATGTTTTAAATGATTAAAACAAATAGTCTTAATATTTAATCTTTTCAGTTCCATCTTTTCAGCTTGATGAGTTGTACTATGAATTCTCATTTAAACAGTACTAAATCTGGAACTAGAATCATCCTTTTCCTATTTTAAAGCGTTTATATCAATCTTAGTTTTCTTTGTCAACTTTGTAGACTGAATAAAGCACTGTTCCTTTGCTTTTTGTATGTTTTGTTGTTGTGCATTTACTGATTTTGTGTCATGGATGGATACCCCATATCCTTTGTTTTTCTATTGAATTGACCATATTAGGATATATTTGACATATTTTAAGTTTGGGTTGCTACCTTAAGTTCATTTGTTTAAAAAAAAAATAAATATATATATTTTCAGAGCCAGAGGCATCAAACAAATTAAGAACCATATATTAAGTAGTTTTTTTTAGCCTTATTGTTACTGTTTACATGGGTGGGTTATGTAAATTCACAGTCATGACAGAAAATTTTAGAAAAATACATTTTTATGCACATATGGTTTATCAATAGCTTTTGATTTGATCAAACCATAAATTTTAAAGCTGTTGATCTATTGATGAAATGGTGATTATTTGTCATGTTTAGTTGTAACCTAAAACATATCATTTAAAGGAGTAATCATCAAGTAATCAGAATTTAAATTGAGACTGATTAGTTCTTTTAAGATCAATGATCAATCAATGGTGACAAAAGAATACTGAAGTAAAATAAAAAAAACATATTACAAACGACTGATATTTTTTTCAAGTCTGCATTGATTAAAAAAAACAATGTTTCTTTGAACTTACAATATCAGTTTGGATGTCCACCAGCTCATCCTGAAATTTATCTATCAATTGTCATCCAGAGGCCCACTATAGTTGTTTCAATATAAAAGTGAGTCTTGCACACATCCCTTGCAGTCTTCCCAAACTATTAAGTTTTTCAATGTAAATTATAATTGTAATTAACCATATACCAGTATAATCAATCTTATAGAACACCTGGTGCACCTCACATATAACAATAAGTCTAAGTCATTACAGGTAGACAAGAGAAACTAAGGAGAAAATCTTTAGATGTTGTAGAGCAGATTCTATTTATCAGATTCAAGACAATGCATAAGTAATAATGATTATCTGCTGCAATTTCAAATAACTGATGTTGTATGTTAGATCATGACCACGGTATGATAGAGTATGATTAAGTAATTATAGTGGGGGCTACATAACTTTTGAATCAGATTTACTTACTCCTGTAACTATGAGAGACTAATTGTTTCTTTAATCCCATATCAAACTATAGTTTATATAGCCAATGGATGCACTAACCATGGTAAAATTATATGTTCCCCCCTCTTCTTCTTCCTGTGAAAGTTTTTTTTTATAGAACTTCAAATATCTAATAATTGAGTAATGGAGAAAACACTGGTTTTGTTGTACACTAGACAACTTTTAAAAGTCATACTGGAAATAGCCTAATCTCCTAGGAACAGTTCATTATTGTTGTTATTCATCTTGACGACTTATTGGAGTAGGATTGAATGAGGTTATATATGTTTCAATGCATCCTTGTGTATTGGAGGGATGGTTATTATAAAAATAAGAAGATGTGGTATGTCTTGCCAATGAGACAACTCTTCACAAGAGACCAAATGACACAGAAATTAACAACTATAGGTCACCATAAGGCCTTCAACAATGAGTAAAACCCATACCGCATAATCAGCTAAAAAAGGCCCCGAAAGGACAATTGTAAAACAATTCAAACGAGAAAACTAACGGCCTGATTTATGTACAAAATAATGATGTATTTGGTTTTTATCTTTTTAAATTGCTCCCTCTTATTTGACTGTTGTTGTATAAAGACTTTTATTAAACCCTATTGCACCACATATTCAGTTGTCATGGCTTCCCAAAATGTAGTTTGAAATGTGGCCTTGTGGGTTTAGATGATAAATTATCTGAACAACTGAACAAAAAGACCATGAATATTCAACAATCTACAAAAAAGTTTTGAAACTATTTGGAATGTATGTGTTGTGGTGAGATAATAGTTTATTATTCCTTTGCAAAATTTTTATGATTGATATATGCAATTTGACATAATATTATTTAACAAAACAGATAGATTGTCTAAGCACAACTTTTCTGAGACACAACTCAATATGCAGGCACTGAAAGATCATCTGTTGATGTTTAAAACAAAAAGTCTAAATTGGTGCCTACTGCTAGAGCTTCGGTCTTCTAAAAATGAATTTATCAACAATCTGTCTAGATTCAGATACCTACTTGACCATCATTGAAGTCACCTATACTGACCTTAAGATGTCTAATTTTGTTTTTCGTATTGTTGTTTGGTTGCTTTCTTACTTAAGTTCACATAAATCTCCTTAATTAAATAAATATCTAAAACCACAATTCTAACAGGACATGCACAAACAACTTTCAACAACTTGAATAAAAGTACTTTCACTGTTTCTAAATATATTTTGAATAACACAAATAAAATTCACAAAGGGACAAAAAATCTAAAACCTAATATGCTGAATATTATATCATTTTATCATTGATATAAAAATACAAATGCATGTTCATCTATAATGCAACATGATTATTTGATATGATATGATAACGAAACTGTATATTTCATATTTATAAATGACAAATCAAAATTTTGCTTATCAGTTATGGTGGTATATATTCAAACATGGTGGTACACTCATAAATTGAGTAAAGTATATTCATGAAAGGAAGAGTTATTTCATAAAGAATTACATTCAAAATTTTAACTTTTGAAAATTTCAAATCCAAATCTTTCAAAATTAAGAAAGGGATAAAACACAATTCATACAGTAATTCATTGCTTTCAACTGTCAGAAAAAGAATTATGTTAAGACATCAC